GTTATGAGAGACTTCAATGGACCTATTCAAACAGGTAAAAATAATTTAAAATTTATATTTTATGTTTCGTTTGTTTTACGAATTGTTTATATTTATTTCAGGTTTTGCTTTTCCTCAAGCGACAAAAAGGAATGGAATGAGATGTAGCACTAATAAAGCATTCCTTCAGCCAGTTAAAGATCGCCCGAATTTAACTATATTACTTTTTTCATTTGTCACTAAGGTAAGAAGTAAGGTTTGATGGCATAAATTGTACTGCAGCTACAATTTATGCCATCAAAATGGCTGAACTTTGAATCTGTAATTTAATACTTGAGTACGTAATTTCGGGAGAAGATTATTTGAGACAATCGTGGGAAATATATTGATATCATAACGAGTGTGATAAGTAGAGAAAAATTAGATATTTAGGACATATTTTAAGGCATGTGAACTTACTAGATCTTTAATAGAAGGGACGATAGAAGAAAAAGAGAGACGAGATCAAAAATAGATTGGAGAAGAAATAGTAAAAAATGGGCACATCTGTGTACAAGAATTGAAGAAGAGAGGATCTAAACAAGAACTGGTGGCTTACCTTATAAAAAACTTAGTCAAATAAAACAACTACAGAAATATTAAAATAAATCACTTCGTTAATCACAAAATTGGACGAATATTAAAAGCGAAAACTAAACACGTGCACACCCTGCTCTATATAAACAAANTAGTATAAAACGTTGAATATGACTTTTATTTAAGAAAAAAATTGCATGTATATATTATAAAACCGTAGATTTCAAGACTAATTACAACTTTTCAGATTGTTATTGATCAATATAAAGTTGCTAGAGCTGTTCGTTTCGAACGTTTCGGTCAATCTTACATTGTTTATGCCAGAAAGGAAGTCATTTTGTCTGCAGGCGTTGTTAATTCTCCACAACTATTGATGCTGTCAGGAATCGGTCCTAGAGAAGATTTACACAGACTTGGAGTAAATATTTAAACTTTCAACATTATTATAATGATAATAATTATTCTTAATTCTTATTCTTTTCGTGAAGATTCCCGTTGTTTCTGATCTGCCAGTCGGATATAATCTGCAGGATCATGTATTTACATACGGAATGGATTTCTTAGTTAATATTCCCTTTAGTCACGTACTTTATCGTTATTTTAAACCAATAAACATTGCCCGATATTTAAAGTTTAATAAAGGTAAGAAACTGTAATTTGCTGTAAATGATTTTTTTTGGGACATGTTTAAAACTTATGATTTTTTTAAAAGGAATTTTGACTGTACCTGGAGGCCTAGACCTTATAGGATATATTGATACGAAGTATGCAAATAAATTAGATGATCATCCCGATGTCGAGATCAATTTTCTTTCTTCCACGCTAGCATTTGATGGAGGAAAAATTACGCTTCCAATTCTTGGACTTAAAAGAGAGGTGAGTTGTTTTAAACTCTAATTATTAAATAAGTGAAATTCTTTGAAAAAAAATGTTAACTTAATATTTATAGATATGGGAGCGTTGTTATAAACCATTCTCTTTCAAAGAATCATTTGCTATAATACCCAGTTTGCTTCATCCTAAGAGTCGTGGATATATAAAATTAAGGAGTACAAATCCTCATGATCATCCCATCATCCAGCCTAATTATTTATCTCGTTTTGAAGATATTCTTGTTTTAGTTGATGGTAAGTAATGTTTTTATAACTATGTAAAATATTTTAAAATACAAATTAAATATTTCGTTTGCATGGTTCAGCCTTGAAGGAAGTTCTCAGGCTCGGTAACTCCATTGCTTTAAAGATATATGGCGCTCGAATATTTCCTAGAAGAATACCTGGATGCGAAAAATATGTGCAATTTAGTGATGAAGATTTGCACTGTATAATAAGAACTTTAAGCACGACTGCATATCATCCGGTGGGAACATGTAAAATGGGTGCAATTGAAGATCCAACGACAGTAGTGGATCCAGAGCTAAGGTTTGATATTTCTCTTAACTTCATATTAAATAAAATATTTAAATAATAATTTGACAATATAGAAAATTTAATTTAATATTTTAAAATAATGAAATTTATAATTAAAAATATAAGAATTTCGTTTTCAATATGATTCAATTCTATTTTATAGGGTTAAAGGAGTATCGAGATTGAGGGTTGTTGATGCATCAATTATGCCAACTATTATATCAGGAAATACGAATGCTGCTGCAATCATGATCGCTGAAAAAGCATCTGATATGATACGCAATACTTTGTATTTTTGGTAGCAAAGTTAGGAAATAATTTTATTATAATCTTAATATAATACGAAACTGCATCAGGGTTTAATTCCTCCGATGAGAACAGAACAGTTTTTAACCTCTTGAAGAGATTTAAAAAGTACTGTGTTAAGAAGAATCGCATTTGAGATTGATCTAATTTATATTATTGTATCTTAATTCCAGTGACTGTAAGTGGCTTTCACAGAAAAAGTTGTCCTGGAAAACAGGAGGTAGCTAAATCAAAATGACCCCCCATTTACTGTCGTTATCCTCAGATCGGAAAGGTCATTGTAAAATCACCAATAAGTCAATTAATTATTTAAAAAAGAAATATGACCAGTTACCATTCCGGAGACTATAGCTTCATTTGGTGCCAGATGAACAGATATAGGGATAAATTTATCTAACTTAAAAAATTCAGCAACGTACTTAACTTTCCAGGCAATATTTGAAACTGCGTGCGTTATCTGTTATGATATTTTATTATTAAAAACTTTTAATATTCTCAATTATTATAAATTATCAAAAAGCTTAATTTTGAGGATAGGAATAGGTTTTATATAAAATTGTAATTGCTTATAACAGTATAATTGTCATTAAGTCCGACCCTACTCGAGATATGACACACGACCCTTCCCTCTATCTCCCCATTCCCTCGACCTTTAACCACCAAAATTCAATAGCATCAATCCCCTAAAACACAAACCTCCTTGCAAAATTGCAGAAAATGTCGACAAAAAGTACGGATGTTATTAAGCTTCAAAGAGGGTGAACATAATCGTGTCCTCCTCACACACACTAACATTCATACATACAGAAAACCCCATAATTTTCTTTTTTGCATTACTCGACCTTCAGGAAATTTATAAAGCGTTGGTCTAGGAAAGTCATTGAATTTAAAACAAAAATTTGAGTAGGGACTCTGTACAGTATTCCTTCAATTGTTATTTTAAATTAACCTCACTTATTAGGTTGCAATTTGAAAAAATTGTAGATCTATAAATTTTCACTGTTGTCTGTGTGTCTATCTGTCCTTCCTTAATCTCAAGAAGGAGTTAGATAGACGGAAGGAGAAGATCAGATGTTGAAAGCATGGGGTTAGGAGGCCACGATTAAGTACTGTATTACTATTGATAACAGAAAAAGTATTATGTATAGAGGCAAACACTACTACTTTGAGATGGAGAGATGTATTTTAAAAGAAAGAATTTTTATTTTTTAACTAAACTTTTTAATACATCTAACAACTCTTCGCGGAATTCCACGTTTTCCTAATCTTTAAGAGCTCAGCATGGCACTGTTGTCTTTCTTCTCTGGCATTTTGTTTTAGCTCTTTATATTCTTCAAACCACCTCCAACTTCCACTTACGCTTTTGTGGGGCTTAGGAATGTGATGTTAATGGCAAATCTTCTGTTGCTTTCCGAATTTTCTTCTGTGGGATAGATATGTAGGCATGGTGAGATAGAATCTTCCACTATGCCTACATAAACATAATTATATATTTAATATGACATTCAGACATTCAGAATCTCATTCACTATGAAAAAATTTTTTATTGGTTTCTTTTTNAAGTCAAGGCCGTTTTTTGAGGCCCTTAAGGACTATGCCCGAGATAACTCACGATAATGTCTTATGAGGAAAAGTTTGATTAAACTTTAATTAATGATATTAAATTTACGAAGTGATTATTAAATTTACAAAATGGTAAAACGTTATCGCCAACTCGTGTCGCTACAGGATTGGTCGAATCTGGACCAATAGTAAACGAGCACCCGAACTACTTACACGCTACAGAGAGTTTAGGCGGGTAAGTTGAGTTTACTATCTTCTGTACTGTATATAAATTCGGTACTGTAAGTCTAATACAGTAATGTAATTTTATACATTTTTTGTGAAAAAAGCATTTTTTTTTCAACGGCCATAAAAACTAATTTTTTTAATGATGTCTCCAAAGTTCAGCGAAATTTTTACAGAAAATAACTTATCAGTAAACGCACCTGCGCCGTTCAATGCGCTGCTCCGCGACGAAAACAAGCTTAAGCAATGGCGTCATCGAACGGTGCACACTCAGTAAGTAATCCTACAATTTTTTGTATATAGCATAGTTTATACGGATTATTACCAAAAAATTATACTTGTTTTGGAAATGTCGAGTCAAATTTGTTTAGAATCGATTAATTTTATAAAATAAAACAGTTCAAACAGCCGTAGTCCGTAAACTGCACAAGTGTCGGGCTGTGATTGGCTCATGTATTTAAGAATTCCTACAACGTAAAATTCTTATAAACTGGAACGTATCTACCGCGTTATAGGGGGGTCGACTGTATGTAATCTTTAATGTTTATATTTGAATATTTTGTGATGTTTCTGCCTGCGTTATTTATTAGTATTATAGTACAGTAACTTACTATTTATAAATATTAATCATTGTTTGTTTGAAAATTTCCGAACAAGTTTGAGATAAGAAAGGCGCCAAATTATTTTAAAATGATTGGTTTCGTAAGCGATAATGTGTCGTCGAAGTAGTAAAAACCGTATAAACGCATATGAATATGAAGCGAAACGAGAGCCGTTATTGTCGTAATGCCAAATATAGCTTTATTCTTAATATACAAAACTACCTGTTACCCGCGACTTCGCCCGCGGAGGTTTTGCAAGCAAACTCCATTTATATTCAGTATTTCAACAATCATAGTAATTGTTATATAACACCTACCGCAGAGAATGATAAGAATTGCTGAGAATCAAACAAACTATTTTGAATTTGGTCAATTTTCTGGAACGTTTACAATCGTTCTATAATTTAAAAAAATTCGAACATTTGGTTAAAAAATCGAAATATATAAAAATATTTATAACGATGTCTGAAATGTTATTAATTTAATACACTTAAGTACTTAATGAAAACTAAACGTAACAAAAGATCGCATCTGAAATAGTACAGTAGAAGCCGTTCTTCCGGTTAAGACTTAATCCTCTCCCTCTCCCCCCGCGGGGGAATGTCGAAAAATCCCTTCTTAAGGCTGGTATACACGGTAAGGAAATCCTTTGAGGATTAACCGGGATTTTTTTTTCTATCTATCCATTTTTAAATAAAAATAATTCTTTATAC